GTGGAAAACATTTATGGTATTATACTGTTTGTACAATACTGAAAGACGCTGATCTGGATCTGTTCCCATACGTAGAAAACATTTATGGTATTATACTGTTTGTACAATACTGAAAGACGCTGATCTGGATCTATTCCCATACGTAGAAAACATTTATGGTAAAATCAAAATTTGATATTGTTGTTCAATTTAGGATGTAAGGTTTATTCGTAGTATGCGTCTTAACTTTACAATTGGTCATATTTTTAGAATCTGTCTCATTCATTTTGAATAAATTTTGGCCCTACTTCATCATTTTCATACGAACATACCACAAACCAAAGTGTAATGTCTACAAGCCATTTACGTTGATAATATCGACATACGTTAAATTAATAATTGTCTTTAATCTCGTGGTCACAAAGCTTTATTGTAATATGAAGATAAAAATAACTAAAATTTATTTTTAAAAACTATCAATATCAATGAATACAGTTGTTTATTGAAAAGGAGAACTAGACCACTTGAAGAATAATACAAGGATAATCAATACGCCATCTATTGAGAAATATTATACCTACAGTGCACCAAGTTGACAATGAATACTGCAATGCCTAAATAATAACTTAATGATTAAATTTGACTTTTCAGCAAATTTAATTTTGTTATTGAATCAAACTTTTCAGTAAAAAAATCTACTGTGGGGCAGTGAACATATTTCAATTCAGGTTGTCAGTAGCTCTCAGTTTCTTTTTCAGGAGTTAAAATGTCAGAATTCCTATTAAAATTAAGAGTGAGGGACATTGTTTTATTATATATATATATATTAGGTTTAAAGTAATTTGCAAATTAAGTATTTGGCATATTCATAGAATTTGTAATTTTGCTATAAATATACTGCCATGTTTTATGTAAAGTGAATAAAAAGTAAAGTTAAGTGAGTTGGCAGCAAAAGACATCATCTGATAACTACAACTATAACATTTTACATGGTTTATGGTATAATACCTTTTAAAATGCTCAAAGTTCCTATTATTTATTTTTCAGTTAATGCACACACACATACAGACATCACATGCGTCTAACTACATATGTAAACAAGTAAAATTTGTAAACTTAAGAATGTTTCTAAAAATAAATAAATACAATAATAAATAAAAATAAGTGTAATGTTCTAAAATGATTTCATAGAGTATTACAATAGAACACCCAGAATATTCTTGATATAAAGTCGTAATAGTTGTTCTATTATTAAATTTGTACTTGGTCCCTTTACAAAATGTGAAGCCCTTTTCTCCATTCTGGTATGGCTCTAAAAAAAAAAGAAGAAGAAAAAGTTAAAGTTGTATATAAATGTTTTATAAGTCAGAAAGACAACTTTACTAAACTAAATAAATAAAAAGCTAATAAACTAAAGAATGTTGTTTAAAGTACATAAAATCAACCATGACTCCAAGTTATTCACCATCTGAAATTAAATAACTGTGTAGAGATTTTTATTAAAATGTGTTTGCTTACATTTTTAATCATCTTTAAAAGTGCAGATTTTACACAACTCTTTTAAACATCTTGAAAAAAAAAAAGAAATTTCTTTTAAAATTCCTTTCATGAATGACAAAAATGAGGCTCATGATTTATGGCATCGAAATTGTGAAAAATCTCAGTCCCCCCCCCCAAATAAAAACAATTTGTTAGAAGTTAACATTTGGTTAACCTATTAATTTTATAAAAAACAAATGGTTTTAGGTACTTTTCTGATTATTATTTTTTGTATACTAAGAGAATCAATTACATTGATTATTGTCATGTAAAATAATATTTCAATCGAAATTACTATTAAATCAATTAATGTCATGAAAATAATGCATTGAACATAGTATTTCCAATTATTACACTTTTTCTATAATTACAACTATTCAAGTGATCAAGATACTGCCATTTTTAATTTCTCATTATTACTTTTGTCATTTTATCAATCAGTGTCATGACTCACGAAAATAATCAACTAATCTAAATTACTGTTTCTCGTTATTACTGTTTTGGATTATTCAATGATGATATGCATGTTCGATGACGAGGAACCCACTTTGAGACTAATAATGCTTGGAGACGGCTTGAATGGGTAACGAAGAAAAACCTTAATATAATTTTAACACGATGACAAAACCTTGTCGAAACGTTGTACATTTGCTGTTATGTTAAACTTATATTCAAGTTTTTCTTTCAAGCCGTCTTCAAGCATGATATGCATGTGTTCTGCTTTTACACAACTCCCAGATGTAAAGGTATGAGAATTGGTTACATAACTGACAGCAATGCCTGTTGTTCGTATTTACCTTACCTATATGTTTAATAATAGTGTAGCTTTAACTTAATATATACTCTTTACTTATTACCAACTAAAAAGGTGACCAGTGTTATTTACAGTAAAATTGCTTTAATAAAAAGCTACAGTAAGTTAATATTCTTTATTCGCTTAAAAAGAATATTGATTACTGAATAACTTGGTCATTTAATTGTGTTTGTCAGGAACTACAAGACATGGATTAATATGTCTAAAAGTATGTAGCATTGGTAAGTTGTTATCCTGTTTAGTTAGGTCTAGCTTTACATAGACAGGAAACACTGGCTGTCCTCATGTGCAGCTTAAAAACTGCTTAATACAGTAAGCTTGATTTACTGATTGCTAATCATGCACATGTATTTCCTGAAAATATAAACATATTAATAATCATTTTAATGTGTTCTAAATTACCATATGTATCAATAAAATTCTCATTTAAATGCTTATAATTTATTTTATACTTATAAAGTTTTTCCACTAATTCTACTAACTGCCCAATTCTACTACCAACATACACATACACACACACTGTAAGAAGATAAATCTTTCTTGAAACAACTTCTCTAATTTAATAAATTTAAAATTTTATGAAACTCTGTGATAGTGAATTGTGACTGTCTCATCAAACATTTAGATATGTCATTGGTTTCAAGATGGTTGTTACTTAAATATTTCAAAGTTTTATTTTTTCCTAATGTAAATCTTCCATTTTGGGACTTGGAGTAAATCGTTTACAACAACACGATTTATTTTAAAAATACTTATTAGTAAATATAAAATGTTCCAAACAACAGCATCATTGAAACTTTATACAAATTACTGTAGTGAATAAATTATTGTATTTTAAGTTAATAAAACTTTACCATGTTACTTTTGATCTTATCACGTGTCAAAGTAAACATGGGTGATTAAACACATGAATATTAGTGTGTTGGGTTACTTAAATTTCTTATACAAAGACTGTATAATTTAACACTATAATTGTAACTGAGGAGGTTGGGTAATGTACTGTATTCGTAGCAATCACCACTTTTCTTTCTTTAGTAAGTTATATATTTACTTTATCATTTCAGAATTCATAACACTGTTGGTACAAAAAAATTGTGTGACCAATATATGGGCTGTGGTTAAGCAGTGTCAAATAGCTTAACTATAAGCATATAGTAACTCCATGGTAGAATAAAATTCATAAGGTCCTCAATGAACACTTTATTAAGACAAGAATAGGTATATATATATATATATTTATTTTTTTAACCTTCATATTTAATTCAAGGCCTAGAATAATGACTAATGAAAAAGTTTTCTATTTATTCTAATTTTATTGTAACGTCTCCTAAACTTTTTTATTTATACTAAAATAGTAAAAACCTATATTATGATAAGTTTAAGATAATTTCAACAAATCTCCTTTAAAAAATTCAGATTATATTAAGTTCGTAAACCCTCTCCTCCATTACCCCAAAAAGAAAATCATTCAAATATTTGAATGTATGGAAAGCACTCCATTATTAGATACATTAATAAGTTGTAATACATTATTTAGTAATTTTGAGGATGTTTAGACTTGCTCACTACAACTAACTGATTATTCAAGTGATAACACTCTGCCAGAAAGAAGAGTGCTTGTTTGTTTCTTTGTTTTGAATTTCGAGCAAAACTACACGAGGGCTATCTGCGCTAGCCGTCCCTAATTTAGCAGTGTAACACTAGAGGGAAGGCAGGTAATCATCACCACCCACCGCCAACTCTTGGGCTACTCTTTTACCAACGAATAGTGGGATTGACCGTCACATTATAACGCCCCCACGGCTGAAATGGCAAGCATGTTTGGTGGGACAAGGATTCGAACCCGCGACCCTCAGATTGCGAGTCGAGTGCCCTAACCACCTGGCCATGCCGGGCCAAGAAGAGTGTACATTAAAAATTAATTGTAAAAGGTGTATGATGCAAAAAAATACAAGAAAAGACCATTTTTCACTAGTGATAACCCCAGACATGCAACCAACACAGTTGAGGCATAAAAAAATGATTACACTTTAACTCTTTCCCTGTCAGGCTTTTTTTGGAAATGAGCTAAAAATATTGTTTTTTGTTCACTTTTTGATAGCCTATACTTATATATTAATGAAGTTATTTTATTATCTGTTATTATATTCTTACCCAAAATATACTCAATAAATGTTACATATCTGGATTTATATGTGATACATATATTATTTCAATGAAACTACAGTAAAGAACAGGATTTTTTTTTCCAGTTTACGATACATATTTCGGAATAAATCCAATACAAATCAACACAAACAGCATTTCCAATGCCATTTAGCAAGCAATGATTGTAATACACGACAACAGGCAAATATTCTTTGAAACATTGGGGGTGCCTGAGTTATCTCAGGCAAATCATGGAAAGGGTTAAATTAAGTCATTGTTTATAATCATCAGTGAAAGAACCAGAAAACATATTACAGATTTTATCCATTAACAGCAGTAAACCTTACCAAAAATAGTCTTTCACAAGAATGACCATTCCTAAAAGGAAGCCTTCACACAATATAATAAGTTTGTAAAAGAAATACTTGAAACTAAAAAACACAACTGCTATAAAAGTTGATTTCACCTAGTACTCTAAAGGTAGGTTGTAAGAAGAGAAAAACCATTCTGAAATCCAAAATGATTATTGCAGGAGTGGGAAAACACTTACCCCAAAGCAGTAACTCTTAGGGGTGCAAACGAACCTAAGTTAATACTGTAGACAGGGATACTGCCAATGATAGGTACTACTTTCTGTCTGGAAAAGTTAGTTACCCCCAAGTATCACAAATACAGGAATAACCAGCCATACCCAAGAAGAAAATATATCATTAAAAAGCATCAAATCAATACAAGTTCCATAGCCCCCCCCCCCGAGTCTTGAAAAAAGGGCCCCTGCCAAGAGTTAGTTCCATTGTACTACTAGAATAAGTGCTCCTCATCTTCTTTCTTTTTCTCCCTTATCCCTTCCATTTCCCTCATATAACCTCACCATAGTTTCCAATACCCTTCCTACTTCCTGTCAACCCAAAACCCCAATTATCTAACCTTTTCTTGATGGATGAAGAGGGACTACCATCCCTAAACATCCTTGGAAGAATTCTCCACCCCATTTTGCTTTGTTCTGACACCCAACCAAAATCAAATAGAAGAGGATAAGTAGTATGATAATGATGCAATGTTTTTGGTGCAACAAAAGATGTTAATAGAAGTATTACGTCAAGAGACAAACAGTTGAACTTGCATGTTTCATTAGAGGTAAAAAAATTTGAAACTGGTACTTAGAACTGGGCAATATCAGTCAATTAATCACAGAGTCAGGCCATGGCCTGACCACTTTTTCATGGTATATGTAGCTACAATTTATGTATTAAAACTTGCTTCTTTTAATTCAATACATTACACTAAATATTTACACTGTGTGCAGTATTTGCAATTAAAATAGCTCAAGATTCAATCTCATAGCATCAAATTTTCAAAAATCTTCTGTAGGGACATACCTCCAGACCCCTTCCCCCCCTTAGAAATGGCAATGGCCTGACAACTCCAATGTCATACTTAAAATAATCAACTAATCAAAACTATTAAATCTATTGTCATGCAAATATCTAACTGAAATTAGTGGTTCTGGTTATTATTGTCATCATGTCTGTTTGTTGTTTAGGGCAAAGCTACATAATGGGCTATCTATGCTCTGCCCACTGCAGATATCAAAACCCAAATTCAGCAATACAAGTTTTTTGTGTTTTACTTCAAGTCTTTATAGATTTGGGTTAGAATGGCCAGATGACTTGTGGGTTTGAGGGGGGGGGGGGGGTGCTTGTGATATGAGTACCTCAGGTTTGATTCCCATTGCCACTAAACTTACTTGTCCTGTCTTTGTTATGGCAGAACTACTAAAGCTAGTTGCCATTATCACTAATGAACTGCTGATTAGGGGGAATAAAAACTGCTTGGAGCACTCATTGCTAACTCTGACTACTTAAATATTAAATAAACTGTAAATTTACATTGTATTGCATTGCTAAGCTATAAGTGTGTACCTGCAATCTTTAATTTAGAATAAGAAACCGTTGTTCTTTAAGATAATGACTTGTTCTAAAAAAAACAAATTATTTTTTTCTTTCAATATACAACCAATAAAACTAAACACCACACACTAGGGTGTGCTTGGAAAGGATCAATCAAAAGAGCTACTTGATTAAATACATATTTACACAAATGTGATTTTGTTGAACTTGTGTAAAAGCTTAGATAAACTAAGGCCCCTTTTAAATTTTGATGTTTTCCATGCATACAGTATAAGACTAACCTGTGAGAGATCTTTACTTGAGAAAATATTTCTTTAGATTCGTTAGAGGATTGCCTCCTTATCTTCCAGATCTCAGTAGGTTCAAGTAACCGAGTAGGATCCCTAACAGCAGTTACGGATACCTATAAAAGAAGTAAGACGTCAAAAACACAACTGTGAAAGACATAGGATCTTAAAAACTGGTCATTTTAATCACAAAGTACACTACAAAATGCAAGGACCTTAGATAACATCAACTAGAATCTCAAAACGTGGAATGACATCAAGAAACAAAAAAAGAAATTGGTCATCTTAACCAGAAAGTTCATTACAAGTACTAGAATTTCAAAAGATGGGATAATATCAACAGTCACAAGTAATGATGTAGTGTTAAAAAATTTTGTCGAGGAGCCAAATAAATCCTAATTAATTTTTAGCTCTTGAATTATGCATGCACATATAGGTGTATTTCAGGCATTTAATGTGTTTGTAAATTACCAGCCACTTATCAGTCAACTTCAAATCATAACAGTTACTATTCATGAAAACAATGATGTCAATAGTGCCTCAATCAGTGCTAAGTCTGTCATATTCCTGCAAGTGTGATGAGCCCTGGTATTGGGCAAAAGGCCACATCAGCATTAGATACAACAGTTGTAGTGTGGTTGACATTTTATTACATAATCTTATTTGCTTTCACTCATAATTTCTTAGAATTTATATACATATAACTGGTATATCTGAATCATAAAAGTACTGTTGTTACATTACATGTAACTTACACAGCATTTTTAAACATACAAGCTTAATTCTATAAAATACTAAACCTACAATTTATTTTTTTACAATTGCTCATACCTACTTGAATTACCCCACTTTACCATTGGTGCAAACAAGTAATTTTAACAAGAGAGTGTATTACAATATTCTAAGATCTCACTTAACACTAAAAGTCACAACAAGCTGGTTATCATACCCAAAAATTTCAGTACAACTTTGTAAGCCACAACGATCTTAAAAAAGTGAGACAACATCAACAGTCACAATGCAAACTGGTCCTTTTAATCAGGGTGACACTTGGATCACAGAGAAAACATTATTTTCCTAACCCAGAAGTTTATTACACGTTTATTACCAGACACTAAGATCTTAGAAACAGAGAAAACATCAACAGTCAGTACACAAACTAATTTTCTTAGCCAAGTGGTGCATTACTAGATACTATAATTTTCGAAAAAGAAATAACACCAACAGTTCCATGTTCTTTTAGCCAAATGAATCACATGTTATGTAACCAAAGACAAAAATTACTATACAATTTGAGGCCAGAAAGTTATCACTATTTAAAATATTAGCAATTAGCAGTATTTATAAATAGAGTGAAATAATTTGTTTTGGTAAATTATTGTTCTGTTTTTCTTTTCATAATTAAAAAGAATATGCTGTTCAAAACACAAGCTATTAAAATGTATACATATAGCAAAATAACAGTCAATTATAACATGTAATATTACTTTAAAATATCATAATTAAACATAATGCATTTGCCAAGATCTTCACATTTCTTTATTACACTCCACAAATCCCGATTCAATCAATTCTTCTCTAATTTTTATTGCTAAAATTCAACCTATGTACTGTGATGTAGTTTTGTCTAAAATTAACCCTACTACGTACTGTGTAAAATGTGCTTTCATTTGACAAAAATTAAGAATATGTATGCATGTACAAAAGAAGCAAGATGTAGGCAGTTTTTAGGTTCATTAGAATTAATACCTGCAGTTGGAAAAGAAACCAGTCTTAAATATTACCAACCATGTATTTTACAGTATTTGTATATATAATATAGTACTTAAATATGTACAGATGTACCCAGCTAAAAACGTAAAGTTTACTTTTCCTGTATTGTGCTGAATTTCTTTATCAAATCCCGATAAAACAGGATTCACTTCCTAAGCTTTTTTTAAAGCTACATTAGTTTCATTAAAAGGGGGCAACTGCCCAGGGGCCCAACTATTTAAAGAGGCCCAGGTGGTTGGAAAACATAAATTTTATTTCAAATTAAGATTTGCTTCAAGAAATAACTTTAATTATGAAGAAAAAAACAACAATATATATGATGGTAATAAAATCTAGGAAAAACCTTAATTGGGCACAACATTTCAGGCCTAAACCTTTCTTCTGATTATATTTGTTCAAGTTCAATATACAGAGCACATTCAATTATCAGTAAAAAAAGGAAACAACAAGAGAATGGTTGGAAGTATGATGTAAAAATAATGGCAAATCAATTGTTGTAACGAAATGACGTAAGTGAAAGAGATGCAGAAGGAAAAGGTGACAAAAAATACACACAGCTGATATGATAAGAGTAACAGTGGGAAAAGTCTGAGGATTTTAAAAGTAAAGTTACAAAAAGAATTTCTCATTTAAACCAAATGAAGAAATTGTACATACGGTATAAATAAGGTAACGTAAACTTTCACGTAAACAGTCTGTTGGTGTAGATCTTACAACAACAAGTCTGAGATATCACAAATCGTATTCATTGTCTGAAAAAGTCTTGAGACTGGTGAGTCAAGATTACAATTTAATATGTTTCATCTGGGTTTGCAAAGTCTAAAGTTTGATGAATGCGAAAGTTGTCCCAGATCATTTTGGTTATTTGAGGGGACATAATTAGGTAATAAAGAATAGATAAAGTATAACTTAGTTTTGAAAGAGATAACAAATTCATTTTTCTTTTAAAGGAATATAATAAATAATGAAGCATAAACCAAGAGTATGCTTACAAGGTATATGACTAGCTTTAAAGAAAGCCTTTTGTAAGGTTTCTTTAGGATAGGAAAAGAAGTCAGTCATTTCTTCAGACTCGGAGATGAAATCATCATTATCATTACAAATGTAATGTAAATGCAAAAACTAAGAGTAACGAATTGAACATAAAGTGGTGGCGGGGATGCTTCAAAATGTAAGTAGGAATGAGAGTCTGTGTGCTTATAATGAACAGTAGTGTCCAGCTTGTTATTTTTAATGATGATTTCTATGTGAAGAAATGACAGGCAGCTGGTAGAAATGTGCCAGATGAAGTTTAAAGAATACTATTAACAATAAATATGCAGAATATGTCAATATATGGCATACAAATTAGGAATTTTTCCTGGAAACTGGAAAAAAAACCAACTGATTTTCCATACAGCCAACAAACAGATTTGCATATGAAGATCCCATTCTGGTTACCATAGCAATACCACATAATCTATAATAATAAAAGGGTGTGTCTGTGTATGTTTGTAACCACTGTAGCTCCAAAAGGAAAGAACTTAGAAACCTGAAATTTTGTACCCATACTAATTGAACCCTGAGGGTGTGCACCTAGGTATTATTACTTATCTATGTGCATGCACGTTTTTATCATTCCTAAGTAAAGTTATGGTGTTAAAACAGCTTATGTTATATATTTTTTTACCCCTGCCACATTAATTATGCATATGACATATATGACTGAAAGTGTACTTTCAGATAGTGTGACATCATACTGTTGTTTTGTGCTCAACTTGAATGTTATAAGAAGTGTTTAACAGTGTTTCCTCAGCACGTAAATTTATCCAGTTTAAGGGTCAGTACCACCTTAATCTTAGCCAACTAATGTAAGCTCTTCCACATGTACAGTACCTACTTCTTTTTTTAATCTGGCCAATCTTTTATCTCTTAACATATCTTCTTGCTCCTTTCTCTTTTGTTTTTCTTCTTTTCTTAGAAGCCACTGTTGGTCCTTCTTTTGAAATTCTACAATTTTTTCTTTATCTTTATTTGTTAAAATTTCTTCTATTTTCCTCCTTTCTTTTAGCTCCTTTTCCCACTTCTGTCTTTCTAAATCCTCTTGTTGTTTACGATGTTCTTCTAATTTTTGTTTAATTATTGCCTGCCATAAGAAATTTATATAAAAAACTTAACATTTTTAATTCAACTTAAGTCATTAAGAAAACGATATAATTAAATACATAAAGCTTTCTTTGTTGAAGGTATCATGAGAAGTTCAATCTCACAAGTACTCAACTTATACAAAGTGGACTTTCATTACAGTTTCCCTCGGTATATTAAAACAATAAATGTACTTAATACATTAACCAATGGCATAACTTCCAGCCCAACAGAACAACTGCTCACAAAAATCATCGTAAAATATCTAGTAACAAAACGAACCATATTTTTAAAGACAGTACTAATGACATTACACACACACACACACACACACATATATATATATATATATAAAGAGAGAGAGAGAAATATTTATAGTTAATTTTCAAATAAATACTTCAATACATTGCAATAAATATTGTCAAGTGTTGATATATACTGAAACTGAATGACCTATAGGACTAATAAAATAATCAGTATCAGTACAAACACAAGTAGGATCCATACCACAGTCTATAAACAGCTAATGTCAGAAGAATGGAAGAAACTGATGTATTAAAACAACTAAACTGAAAGTAGCACGAGTGGAGCTCACACAGACTACCCTACTACTAAAAGTCAGGTATGAATAACCCCCTGGTGGGCAGAGCATTGATAGTCCATTATGTAGCTTTGTAGTTAACAAAAACAAAACTGTAAGCTCTCAGACTCCCTCCTGAGCAACTGGGGTGGGGGTAAAGAAAATATCCTCATGTTTGAGTGTAAGTATACTGACATTAAAGAAAAAATAAAAACAATGTGAATTATGGATTGTGTATTTTAACAAATACAAATCTGAAGCATCCAAGTTAGACTAAACTATATGAAGTGGAAAATATTTTTTGTTTACATCTTCCAAAATGAAAAACAGTCATACTGCTATGACATCAACAGAAAGTTTCAAGAAGCTTTAGGAACACTCTAAAATGGTCAGCTTGCAAAAAAAACTGAAACTTATAAAGCTCCAACAATATTACTATTGTAAATTTTTTATACTTTAAGATTTATACTTAATATTTCTTATTTTTGGTATACATTTGTTTGTTTATTTGTTATGGATTTCGCGAAAAGCTACACGAGAATTATCTGTGCTAGCTGTCCCTAATTTAGCAGTGTAAGACTAGTGGAAGGTAGCTAGTCATCACCACCCACCGCCAATTCTTGGGCTACTCTTTTACCAATGAATAGTGAGATTGACTGTCACATTCTAATGCCCCCATGGCTGAAAGGACAAGCATGGTTGGTGTGATGGGGATTCGAACCCGCAGATTGCGAGTCGATCACTCTACCCACCTGGCCATGCCGGGCCTTTGGTATATGTATACTGTTCATAAGTATCCTTAATGACTCAAGAAACTATTCGTTCTTTATACAAAGTTGTATTTATGCCTTTTTTATTAAGAGAAAAATAGTTTAGCCTTTTGCGCATTAAAAACAAAAATAAACATTTTTCTGGATCAAAAATTCAAAATGTTTTCTTCTAATAATTGGTTTATAAGATAGATAAAAATAATTAAGTTATACGTACATGTTATAAATCTCAGTTGAGTGTCAGTGTGAAGAAATCAGTAAAGAGTTTTGTTTTAATATTAGCATTTAAAAGTAATAAGTAAAATGTAGAGACCTTTCGAGGTTTTTACTTTTGAGAAATGTTTTAATTTATTGCCAATAAATGAAATCCCATATACTTGTAAGCATGTGTATGATATGAAAACTGTTACCTAGTTGAAACCATTATATATTTCTGAATTAAATGTTTGCTTGTAACCAGTAAATGTAGTTTTCCTAATACACCAAAAGGAATAAAATAAAAAACACATACATATATATATATATAGAGAGAGAGAGAGAGAAAAAAACTTTGCCATGTTTATATCACATGGAATGTAATAAGCAGTGTTTACAAAAAAAACTGTAATAGAAATTAACAAATTCAAAATAATTTAATTAGCAGGTGTTAATTACAAAAGGTATAAAATACATACACAGCCAGCCTTTCAGCTTCTAAAGATTGAAATGTACATACTTTCTGAACGTCTACAGTATCAAGTATGGGATAACAGACAAAGGACTGGTATTGTTTTGAACAAGAATTTCTTACAATATCCAATATTAAACCACGTATACATTCGCACTACATAGTGAATTATGAATTCATGTTTATAAACATGTTTTTTATGAACTTGTAGTCAGTTACTGTTATCATGATTCAACTTTTACATAATTAGCACTTCTTTTGCTCCAAGTTTAATTTCCACGTCTTTAGCAGGCCTGTGATTGGATACATGAGCTTAATAGGATGTAATAATACCTTAATGTACATATAACTGAACATTATTTGGCAAGTCAAATTATGTGAGTTGAAATGCTTCCATACAAGCTCTTCAAGGTGAGGGGGCAGCACTTACCACTTGTACTAAAAGAGAAATTGACAATTCTCTGTTCAGAACACAATGTAATATAATACATCATTTGATAGATGAAAACCTTAGCTTGCTATTGGTTATAAATAATATAATATTAAATGCAAGAGAAAAACTATTAACAAATCTTGAAAGAGAGGATGTGACAGATGGGTGTGGCAAAAGGGGGTCTGATTTTCTATTTGATGGCTCTGTAGCCAAACAATATTGAAGGTCTATAAAAATTATGTTTTGTCTGAGCAATGATGATATGATAGTTAGTAATTTACATTATGGTGTTAAATAAATTATGGAAGAGGGGATGCCTAGAGAAAAAAATGTCACAATTCTCACTTTAGGGAAAATTCAGGATTTTTTAAAATATTGCCTTATGAAATCAAGAACCTAAAACTTATATAGTATTAAAATATGGATTATTAGCTATGATTTTATGCTATACTAACTGGTATAACATAAACAAAAAGTAATTGAATTAAATTTTTAATGTAAGTCACTAAAACCTAATGACATGAGCAGTAAAGGATGCCAATTATGAAAGGGTTACCTTATATTTATATGTACATAAAGCTTAAGATATCTAGAACCTAAGTTCCAAGACCTTTCTAGTATTTTGCATAATTCATAAAAACCTGGTATGTATGGTTATCACAGGAAGATAAATTAATTACTCTTTTCTCCTGGTCTATAGACCTCTTCTTCTGCTCAAGCTTCTTTTCTTCTTCAAGTTCTTGTTCTTTTAAAACTCTCTCTGCTTCTTTATAAGCCTGTACATAAAATTATCTTATTGTAAAAAAATGATACAGATGCTCAAAGAAGATATTTTATATTACCTACTGTACATCCAAGGAAGATAAACCTATACTTCCAACTAACTTCCACAAGTCTCTGTGCCACTCCTTGAAACAAATGTGACCTAACTCCAGGAGGGCATCACAAAGAAACAGGATTAAGAAAATATAAACCTTTCTAAATAAATGTTGTGATGTATAACCTTTGTTCAAGCTAGAGGAAGAGTACAAGATTATGACATTGCCAACTAACCACACATAGAACACCTGCATGAAAACTAACAAACATTTATTGAAAGGTATATTCTTTACTGGTTGTGGCAGAAGTAGTTCTTTCAACTACAAGAAGAGTCTTTAATATTAGAAACATCAAAAGATAAATGTAGTCTTTAATATTAGCAACATCAAAAGATCAATGTAGCGTCTTTAATATTAGCAACATCAAAAGATCAATGTAGCGTCTTTAATATTAGCAACATCAAAAGATCAATGTAGAGTCTTTAATATTAGCAACATCAAAAGATAAATGTAGAGTCTTTAATATTAGCAACATCAAAATGTAGAAATATTTTGTACTTTTTCTTTTACAGCTAATGTTTGTACAATGATACCAAATATTATAACGTGTTACAATTTATTCCAATGTAAAACAATTAATAAAATTTGATAAACCTTTACTGTAACTCGATAAAACTGCATATTGATTGAAGTAACAAGGCCGAAATTGGCACTGTTTTGTTCAAAACTATTTTAAATTTCCCCCTAGTGAGCTACGAATGCCATATTATACACATAAAACAATCAGAAAATTCACAAACACTAATGTTTTTTTTTTACCAGAGCATATTGAAGTCAAAATTTGCAATTTTGCTTTTTAATATTTTGTTTATATAATTAAATGCATAAACCTTTTCATTGAGCAAATGTTTAACTGAAATATTCAAAAAATGTGTGGAAGCAACATCAAGTTAAAGATGGATGAGCCTTTTTTTCTTCATTTTTGTTTGAGGATCACAAATTAATACCTTGAATAGATTTTGCCATTGTTTTTGAAATAAAGCAAATATTGACAAATATCATATTTTTTTACTTTCACAGTCACATTATCCATAACAAAAAATAATTTATATGTTTATAAAGTTTACTACCAAAGTATCAGATAAGTGTTCTAAATTTCTAAAATATTTCAAAATGTTGTATTGCCAGGTATTCTTGAATAAGTTTACACTGTATTACAATCAGAGTGTTCTGTTCATGACACCAAGTACCTGATAAGTGTTAGGAAAGAGTTCAAAATACAAATACTTTTGAAATGTGCTCATAGAGATATGCTCAGAATCCTATCTCCATCAATGTCTTCATATAATTAAAATTCTCTCAGCAGTCAATTAAAAAAGTTTATAAGTAAATTTTTATGTTTTGTCCTCTCAGTTATTTTTGGTTTACCATTCCTATGTTAGAGTTCTGTAATACATATACATTAGTACTTAATTAACATATATTTTAAATTTTCATACTAAATTACATAATTTTCAAGGTGCATATTCTATTATACGAAATCAAAGAATGTAATGTATGTGATAATATTATTACCTTCCATTCTTTTATTTTTTCTAACTTCTTCTGCCTTTCTTCAAATAGCTCTCTCTGTTTATTTTTCTGTGCAACAGTCATTTCTGGTTTTACATCTACTTCATTGAAAGCTGTGTTTCTTTTTTCCTGTAAAAAAGTGCACTGTGCTCCATTAAAAACATTCAATACAAAGTTTCCTAGTTCATTTTATCTGTAATTTTCAATTTCTATTTACACGTGTTGACAAAAGAATACAATTAAACTTGTATTCAGTATTTCTTGTAGGAAGCCTAAATTTTAATGATTCTTCTCAAAGTTAAGTTTTCATTGTCGGAGTATAAAAAAAAAATACTGATTAAACAAATCAGCTCCCTTGACACTAAGATGCTGTAGGTGACAGATAAAAGTTATAATTTTCCTATGCTGGAAATGTATTTTTGATAGGTATTTACATAAGGAACCAAAACAAGTCCAAAGGGCAAGAGATAAAACTGGGACAGAAGCACGTGGTGAAAAAACCTAAGACAGCGACCCAAGAATGGAAAATAAGAACATGTACCGAGGACATTCCCATTCAAGCAAAAAAAGACTAACCAAATATGATTAAAGACTACATAATAAATGGGGAAAACCCAAGAAGTGACTGAGGCAGGACTGATTGGTTCAGAACCCCAAACAGCATCGAGCATACATAACGAATGGAGCTGTAGGAAGGACAGGTAAATGAAAGAAGATAACAATATCACAAAATGAAACAAAAGAGCAACTAAAATATATTAATATAGCATGGCAGATACCCCACATAATGCTAAATGTACAGGATGAGCCCAAATAATGGACTGGTGGAGAAAAAGGAAATGACTTTAAGTCCTTATTAGCAGTGGATGGGAAACAAACAACAGTGTACCATCCAAGAAAATCACAAAAGCAAAGAAGCCATGTGTGAAGGGAAAGAACTGAAGATGGCAAGTGCTCCAACATGGAGGGAAAGAGGAGGAGGTATCCAACAAAAATCCCTAAGTATAGATGAAACACCTAAAAAAGGAAGTGGAAGATAAACATTACCTGAAAAAGAAATGAGTACAGCTATTATAGGAGGAAGATAATCAATATTGGGAGCAGATAGGGTGGACCCCAGCCCCCGGGGACCCACACAAATGCAATTAAGGGTAAGAAGTATAAACTAAATGAAATTAATAGTAAAGGGAAAAATTATAAAGAATAACGAAAATGAAACAGTCAATATATCAAAAAATGTAAGAAAAGGTAGTGAAATAAACATATGTACTACATGTTATGTGTTGAAAAAAACAAATATTTAACCTAACTATCGATTATCCCAGATGTATGACCACAGGCAAACTGCCGTTAACAGATTCTTGTTAAGCCTAAACTAACAAGATATTTAACTTAATTAACAACTAACCATGAAGTAGAACTATGGTAAACCTAATATAACAGACACATGTTAAACCAAATTGAACTGTGCAGGACAAATGATATCACTTACGCTCTAAAATAAAATCTTAAACTAACAATAAGTATGTACCACATTGGTAGGAGTGATTGAAGACCCCAGCTCAAGGGTTCCACATAACCAAGTTAATATGAAGAAGTATAAAAGATATATATAATAACAAAAATGAAATAAATGTTAATTTATAAAACGAAGGAAGTTTGTATTAACAATAACCTATTTATGAGACGTGATGTATGGAACAAAAACAATATAGTTAAATGAATGATTGATTACATGTAATCCTAAAATAACTAAGACCCCTGGTAATCCTAAGCAAATGGTTTAGGAGAAAATATACATCTAAGCCTAATGTCTAACCTAACCTAAACTATGACCAATCTAACAAAACTTTCATTATAGAATTCAAATAATTACAGATAACAATAAGAAAAATAAAATTATTCAAAAACCATAACAGTATAATGTCTTATCTTTCCAAAGTCAGAGGACTGTATTTCAAAATGTATGGGCCCCCAAACTCGAGGTGAGGCCCGACAAAGGTCATCTCACTGAAAAATCAATCTCCCAATGAAGTAAAGCCAGTAAGTTTCCAGTAGAATACTACAACCTGAAGCCAGTGTAAATGTATTGATAGAAAATGTAACGTCCGAAGTGATAATGTAAAATTCATAATGCAAAATGAATAATCAAACACAACTGTGTTGCCAGAAAGAAATAAAAAATGTTTGTAATGAAGCAATAAGTTCCGTAACTGGGTAGAAACATAAAATAATTCAACTTCAGAATATCTCAACTAGTTATAAATGTAAAGAGCAAACTGGATAAGAGAAATATTGCAACCTAGAATTGACTGATTCCAATACGTCTTGTATGCAAATCATCATGCGACAATTCTCCACCAATAAGAGTGTGACATACTTTCTTGATGCATGTAATTCTCTCTTTTCATGGCCAGGTGGTTAGGGCATTCGACTCGCAATTTGCAGGTCGCGGGTTCGAATCCCCGTCACACTAAACATGCTCGCCCTTTCAGCTGTGGGGGCGTTATAATGTGACGGTCAATCCCACTATTCATTGGTAAAAGAGTAGCCCAAGAGTTGCCGGTGGGTGGTGATGACTAGCTGCCTTCCCTCTAGTCTTGCACTGCAAAATTAAAGACGGCTAGTGCAGATAGCCCTCGTGTAGCTTTGCGGGAAATCCATAACAAACAAACTCTCTTTTCAATTCTACCAAACTATCATTTCTCATTTGACAGTACTCATGTTGTAACGTTTAGTTTGTGCTCTCTTCGAGTGTTTTATTTATTCTGTATCATGTTGGAGGTTCAAATATTGTGGCATATGCAAACATTTTTTTGCATATAGAAAGCAGCACTGAAGGAAAATAGCTATTTATGTGAGTGGAGGTAATGTACTGTATTGGAAATTAAACCTTTTCTACTTGATAAGTGTGTTTATCATAAGATTTTGATAATTCAAGACAGAAAACCCAAACCAATTTGTCTGTATATAGTAAATCTTTCATTTTTTATCTTTTTTAAACATAAATATTAATCAGAGATGAGAGAAATATACGTTTTTTCATATTACAGTTACGGATTTCTTTATTGTTTGTTTTGTAAGAGATATCAGACTCACACAAAAATTATATTTATAAATTTATACTATCACAATCATGTCTCTAAGTTTCAAGAATACATAAGTTCTCTAGCTGAAGTACAAGAAAATATACTAAGTATAAATATATATATAGAATGCTTTTTGTTAGCTGATTATGTAATGAGTGCTTGTGAGCACAATGACAATATATACTCTTAATTTTAATAGGGAAACTAGGTCTCCGTGCAATTTAAGGATTTTAGAGAACAGTATATATTCCTACTGTGAGCATACTCCAGTAGCTCAACAGCAAGCTTGAGGGCTTATAATACAAAAATTCAATCTGTGCAGTAGACACAGCACAGACTTTTCTTTGACAAACAAACCTATTATCAACATTATCTACATATAAAAAGTGAAAACAACTGATCAAGTGGATTACTAGCTTATTTGGATTTGAAATAATTGTCATTTACTAAAATATTGTAAAAAGACCCGATTGACTGTCTCTGCAATACAAGTTATAACATTACATGATGGTTACTAAGCACTAACGATACGAGAAAGTGAATGAATGTTTGTATTAAAAAAAATCATAATCAAGAAATTTTTAATAATTTATCCTATGAATTAATGGTATGATCATGTTTTCAGAAAAACCATTGCTACCAAGGGTACAAACAAGTTTTAAACAAATATTTAACACAGTGATTCCTGGCTGTGGTTGAGCAAACATAAACATAAGAACCACATTCCACTCATATGAGACCTTAATGTTTTATTTAAACTTGCCCCCCCAAAAAACCTATGATTTACTGTAGTTTGTAAGAGTTCAGATTGATTAAATTGCCATTTATAAGTGTATGTATTAACACTACTTTCGACTTACAATAGTGCCTGCTTCAAATAAATCTAGATTCAAAATAAATAATTTCTAATTAATATGAATTTGCTACAAGTAATAAATGATTTGTTTGGTTGTGTTTAAGTGCAAAGCTACACAATGGAGTACTCGTGCTGTGCCCACCATGAGTATCAAACCCTGCTTTTTAGCAATATAAGCCCTCAAGCTTGTCACTAAGAATTGTATTGAATGAGAAAATAAAAATTTTGATTTAAAGTATTACAATGTAATAATAAGTTTTTCTAAAATTTCTTTTTTAATAAATATTATCAGTAGTTCTAAAAACTGCATAAAAAATAGTAATAAAAAACTGAATTATGCCTAAGAGTGCTGATCATATCACTTAATAGTGAACTATGTTAGCTTGCCAGAATAAATTGCAAAATTTAAGTTTAACCAATAGGGTATATGTATTTTAAATATACAATTCATAATAATAAAAGCAAATATTACTTTTATTTCTAATGAAACGTATCACTTATGATACATATAATGCTACATTGCACCATGTACCAAAAAAAAAACATTTAGGGCAATTTATCCTATTTCTAAACAATTTGTTAAAGATATCTAAACCACAAGTCTATAAAACATTACTATAATAGATCATTACAACTAATACACAACAGTAGAAAAATTACTTCTATATGGTCAAAAATTGTAAAATAATTTCAGAATGATCATCTCCAAGTTTTTAGTCATCAGGTACACTAATATGATAAGTTACAAGATTTCCTTGTTAATTCCTTTTCTACACCGAATCATGTATTTCAATGAAGAAAAGATTACTTAAAGGTCTAATCTATTCTTTGATTTGCTACTCCTGCTGTAGCAAAATTTGCAGCTTATCAGTTCGGCTCGGTAGAGTGAAGCAAATGGATATGGAACACCTCATATAGTGATGGAATGTAAGCAACTTGTTTGGTTTTGACTGGGTGTTTGGATAACATCTAAAGTATTTAGGATTATTGATGATGATTAACGCACTAACACCAAAACCAAACATAACAAGATTTTGTCACTTATTAGAAACAATTACAAAAATTATTCAAATAAAAGAACATTAAAAGCAAAACATGTATCAAATGGGTTACAAGTTTCAACAGTTTCCTTTACATCTACCTCTTTTTTCTTTTTCCACTCCTGTATCGCAATTTCTTTTCCTTTCTTTTTTATTAAGTATTCTTGAAACCAGGTTTTATGGTCAAGAATCTGTTGCTCCGTCAGACCAATTAGTTCAGTGATTGCTTGTTTTAAGAAAGTGTCTTCATCCTGTTGGTAAAGTTTAATAACAACAGGTTGGTTTATAAAATTGTATATAATAAATTAATAATCTATATTAACTAAAAATATTTCATATTCATACAAACCTTAGAACATTCTTTGATTTGCTTTTCTATATGACTGTTAAACAGCTGATGCATAATGGAAAATAAAGAATGTTAAAGTGAAAACATGTTTTTAAAAACAGACTGACATTTCAAGTAGTCAAAATACCTCCAATTTTTAAGGACCACTTCAAAAATTGTTTCTTTGTTAAAAAAAACAATTGCACAAAGACATATCAAATTGCAAATAACTTCCACTTTTATGTTATTGTTTTACACAAACAATCTCTGCTAATGGTTTTATGATGACTGCAACTGTTATAACTAGTAGAGGTAAATTTCTTTAGAACATTAAATTTTAACATATTGTTTGTAATTAACACGTTAACAGTCAGGATCTATTTTTTAATTGTCTGTTGAATTTTTTTGTAAAACTACATGAGCTATCTGTGGCAACAATCCCTAAAGTCATGGTGTACAAGATGTGGGGCATCTCCCCAAGGGGATGCAGAAAGATGGTAAAGGGAAGTGCCCAACTATGGTTATGGGAGCATATAAATTAAATATCAAAGTACAAATTTAAAAATAATGTTTTAAAACTACCATTCGTATATTACTACTATTAGTAATATAGTAACAATAATTAACATTGGAAAATGACAGGTAGAGTATATGCACAAATAAGTAATATAGAGCATAGAGAGGGGGGATACGTTTAGAAGGGACACCATAAAAAAAACTAGAGGGAAGGCAGTTAGTTAACATCTTAGACTACTCTTGTCAAACCAAATAATCGGACTTATAACAGTGCGATTTATAAAATCTGTCATACACTACTTTGTTGCAAAGTGTTTTCAGTGACAAAGTATCAGGTAGCACAATGATGAATGTCAGCAAATCTCCCAACACAAGTCTAGGTTCATTGTATAATTTATTAATATCTAAATGATTTAACTTCTTTAATAGCCAACTGAAGCTTCTAGCAGAGAAAGAATAAAGCTTAGATTCCAATTAAGCCTTTATAAAAGAATTTTGGTCATTAATGAGTTTTCCTTGCTAGTTATGAAATACTTTTATATGCTGAAAGAAACCCTCATGTGAATTAATTAATAATGAATGTGTTAAATGGAATTTGGGTCATTAAAGAAAAACATACATTTAGCTAATGTTTAGCTTTAAAGATTTCTTTTTCAATTAAAGCTACTTTGAGACAGTACAATAGTTAACACTCTGGTGATGTCTTAGGGTTCATGAAAGGGTTCAAATTTAAAATTTTTTATGAAACTAATTTCCCACCCTCAAGGTTTTCCATGATATTATTTCACAGTTTGAAAGACAATTTGTATCTAGAGGCTCCCTCTGGTATATAAGAGGAGAATAAACTGATATCATTCTATTATTACAGTTTATAGTTACCATTGTCCATTACTAAAAATATATTTCCAATACATACTCATCTCTGCACATAGAATTGCTATTTCCCTCACATATCTGCCTATGCTATTTGCATGCCACTAGCCTTGGGCTAACTCACACCTGAATTAATGTGATTAACGTGAACTGTGCTGGTGCATGATGATGACATCATGCAGCAATTACCCTCCACCAATAGGAGGGTGACACAACCTCCATGTGCAATAACTCCCCCCTATGCACTTGCCCTCTAGAAACTTTATTCTTAGAAAAGACAAGAAAATAAAGGGTGCACTGGTAGTGGAAAGACTGGGGAAGGGGAAGGTGTGTGGAGAAATATCTATTGCAAATACATTTTCAGTAAAGGAAAATGTTAACTTTCAAGACAATAACTCACCTCTGTACAAAGAATTAAAGTGGTGGAAGGGCTAGTGCAAATTTTAAATCTAGATGAGCTCCTTTCAGAAATCATCCAAAGGGAAAGCCTATGTAGTGGTACACACGATGGCATGGGCTCCATACAGACACAACTGTAGGAGATCGTACATCATCTTAATCAGAGTATAACTCTGCCTAGAATGCAAAGGAGGAGAGGTGAAAGAAACCCAAGTGTCGTAGGGGTGGTCAGAACTTGAATACTGCCAACTGAGCACCTGTGAGGAGCCAATATTTGTAGTGGTTAGGATGCAATCTGATCGCATGATGTGTGCTCACCTTGACTCTACTGAACAGACTTTGACTGCAGAAGGAGGGCACAAGAGCTGTTTGAGGAGTGATCCATAGTACACTAACAGTACACTACTTTTCACTGTATTGCACTAAGCCCAACTGGTGAGGATTTCCCAAGGTCCACCACCCCAGTGGTTAGGAACCGATAAGTGGTAAGGATCTTCTGTTCCCCACATGAAAAGGGGGATTTCCATTAGGAACTCCTGGGGAAGTACCAGGATCCCCATTGGACCACTTGTTGGAAATGTCTGTTACTGGATACAGTTCAATGAGTGACCATGAAATATTAATATCAAAGAAGTGGACAGTCACTTCCCTGGTGCTGGCTTCTTCCAGGTTAGTCCATGGGAATGGTATGGTCTAGATCAGACAAGGGAGTAAAATTGTAATCCAACAGAGGATACATCTAATGTTCTTGTGGAACACCCCATCTCTCAGTGGGAACTGGTAGAACCAGGGTGGATGAGCTGAGCACTTTTTGTTACCACTGGCCTGATGCAGATTTTGGGAAATAAACCCACCCTGGGAGACAACACAAGCCACCTGGCAAGATCATGTGTGATGGAAATGGAAAGAAATGGAAAATGTATTAACCCATCTCAAATACAGATGGACAATTAATGAATACAACATTGAGGAAGCAGAAATCCTACATGAGACAAAACAACCAGATGATGAGAATAATGATAATGAATAATAAACATTTGGGTAATTGTCTACATGCCTGCCTGGAGGATCACATCCAAGGACCAGCAAACATGGGAAGCAAGAGAGTGAGATAGGCAACAAATCTGATGCAAGATGTGAAACAGCTGCAAGCATTTACATTCATTGAAGAATATAGCAACTGGAAAAGATAATGACTTATACAGTAAGGGTAGGAGGATATAGGCCCCTGGAAAAAAAGAGAGGTCCCAGCAGATTACAGGCAACAAGATCAACCCGATGTAAATGAACCTAAAATTGTAGGTCCAATGCCTGAAAGCAAATGGTCCTGGAATGGATGCCTCCTTGACAGTTGATGTAAAAAATGACCATGGAATTGTTAGAGTGGACTAAAACCAACTGATCCATCAAAAGTGGCAGAAAATGGGAACATGCTCAACAAACAACAAGAAGTTCGAGTATGATGTGAAGTGTACTCTCATCCTGCATTCAAATGGCAGAAGTCATGTTATCATTCAGAAATGTGCTCCAACCTCAGAGAGAAGCATTGGTGAAGAGATGGAGATCCAGTCTGAGAGGTGGTAAAGTACACCAGAAGTAGTATTGGCACAGTCTACCCACCATGACAATTCCTCAAGTAGAGGAGAAAGGAGGTTCACGATTGAGTACAATAGATCCTGAAAAAGGAATGAGGGGTTTCAAGGAATCCGGAGTTTCCAAAAGAGTAAGAACCTCTCACAGGATGAGAATGAGAAGTACAAATCTTAGTAACCAGACATGCCATAGCTCTCAGGCAAAAAGGACAAGGCTAAGGTCAGCAGAGACAAGAGTTGAATAAAACATTCAGATGTACCAACTATTTGGTGGGCATGAGAAAGGACATGGATATTTTGAGAGGCCATCCCAAATGATCAGCCTCCTCCAGAAGAAGAGAGGTTTGAGAAAAGGATACCTCCTGGGAATGGGCTAATAGGAGCCAATTGTACATGCAGAAATGGAAGAGGTAAGTGCTATGCCAAAGGGAGGAGCATGGAATTGGAAGACATTATTCCAATGGACAAAACATAGAAAACATCTGGAGTTTAAGGCAACTGGGATGTGGAGGAAGGCATCTGACACACTAACCTTGGTCATCCAGAGCCTGGGTGAAAAGGACCACCAGAGATAAAAGAAATTCTCCATCCAGAATCATGGAACAACTAGAAAATGGTTGAGAGGTGATAGGTTGATTACTGGGTTTCTCGGTGACCACAAAGAGATGAGAGTAAGGGTAGGGTCATATACTTTCTCGATGATGTGTTTGACCAAATGACCTGAAACCACATCCTCCAGACAACAAAGATAGACAGAATCAGAGGGAGGAGAAAAGAAAATGGGAAGAGAAGAGAGGGTAGGAGGAGAGAAAGACTGTGGGTGAGGATTTCAAGAACCCATCTATCAGTAGAAAACTGTTACAAAAAGTTAGCAAATTGAGATAGACAAGTGTCTACTGGGCCAAACCTGACAGAACAGAATAGTCACAGACGATACATGCAACAAACTTAATGTAAAGCAGTGTGAGGATGGAATGAAAAGGAAGGTCTGGAAAGTGGAATGGGGTGGTGAAAGGCAGACTGGTATGTTCAAGAAACAAAAGTCAAAGGGCAAGAAATTAGGGAAGATACAAAAAAGATTGATGCTGGGCTACTTTGGCCCTGGTCTCCAGTGAATCAGGAATACTATCAAATATATCAGGGCAAAGAAAAGGAGACCAATAAAAATCATGCCGATAATAAGTATGAAAAGGAAGATCTGGAAAGTGGAATAGGGTGGTGAAAGGCAGACTGTTACAGTCAAGGAACAAGAGTCAAAGGGCAAGAGATTAGGGAAGAAACAAAAAGACTATTGCTGAACTGCCTTGGCCCTGGTCTCCAGTGAACAAGGAACACTACCAAAGACATCAGGGCAAAGTAAGGGAGCCCAATAAAAATCATGTAGATAAAAAGTGTGTAGGCATATGCTTAGTAAGGAGTCTATCCTAACCCAAGGGGTCCCAACAGCAGAGGAACTAAGTAATCAGTAACAGGGCACAAGAAGTGGTACAGGCCATCAAGGGAATGAACCTCCCCTGAAAATCCTTCTGTAGTACAATGCCCTCAACCAGGAGGAAGATACCAAAAGCAAATCCAGGTGGAGGGAATAGTTCATCAAATTCATCTTCCTCCTGGTCATTTTCAAACTGACTGGATGAGACATTGGCCAAAAGGATGGAAATAGAAGGCTCAGCATGCATGATGGATCCCAAAACATGCTGCATTGTGAAAGTAACGTCTTCAACAGTCAATGAGCCTCCTGAAGCCACAGTAGAGGTAGGGGTTGTGTGTGTAATATCATCACTCACACAGGGTCAAAGTCACCGTCACTTGAGAATTCATCAAAATAATTAAAGCTTTTGAAACTAAAACCAAAGAAAAATCAAAACTAAGTTTTACAGATGAATTAAAATCTCATCAAATTGCACTTAGATGAGGAAGTTGAACACTTTTTTGCAATAAAATTGTGAAGAAAAGAATGAAGTTTTTCAAGTGCAAGTGCATAGGGGAAGTTACGGCACATGGAAGTTATTTCACTCCTATTGATGGAGGGCTATTGTTGCATGATGATGTCATCATACTCCAGTGCAGTTCATATTAAACTCGTTAATTTAGGTGGAAGTTAGTCCAAGGCTAATAGCATGCAACTCTCATAGGCAGACATGCAAGGGAAATAGCAATTGTGCGCGTAGAAGTGAATTATTGTATCCGAACTCTATAAGTTTATAGATTATGCTGTCAATTTAGTGATAGATTACACCTGTCTACAAATACATATTATTATTATTATTACCTTGTACTTTTGTTTTAATTGAAGAAACTTCTGGTGATCACAGCCATCCCATCCTCCAGTATGTCCTCCACTTTGGTAAACAAATTCCTAATTAGAATGTTTAACATTATATTTGTTTTTTTTAACGTTTCAAAACATCACACACACATATACTGTTATAGTTTCCTGAGTATCAAAATTATTTAGGATTGGTTTAACAATATTTTTCACCATATGTTGAACACCTTAGAATAAAGTTTTATTGTAATTTTTTAAACATTGTTCTCATCAGAGATAAACTATGAGCTTAAAAATTATTTCCAATATCAGTTAGGTATTTCAATTGTTTTGTCAGCTACAAGCTCCAACATTTTTTTAACTGCCCCCAAAAAGTTATTTTATACATCCAGTAAATCATAATATACTAACCAGTAAGGAGAATTCAATCTCACTAAATATTAAAAAACCCTGGTTCAAACTTATATAATCATATACTTTTCATTTATAACTTAACTTGTATCTTCAAACCAAAAGATATATACATATTTTAAAAAATCTGTTACTTTTACAGCAATTCAAAATAATTACTAACACAAACCACAATCAATTTTGAGCATAATACAGAATGTAAAAATTAAAATCAGTAAGTTTTACTTGGAATTTTTAGATTATTAGTATTTGTTGAACCTTCAATGACAGAATATCATTTATTGTAGTATGAACAAAGCAACTATTACAAAATCTTTGTTGATTTTCAAGTTATCAATGTGACATTATTATGGCTGCTTTACCTCAAGTTAATCCATTCTCTATTAAAATTTCACTTGAACAAGTAATATACAGCTTTTTAATTTTATCCCTTCCTTACAGTAAATAAATGAGCTGGCTGGTACCTGGCAAGTCAAATCCACCAAGTCACTAAAACATCTCTTAATTTCATCCTTTTTATTGTGGAGGTTTGTGTTTTTCTTATAGCAAAGCCACATTGGGTTATCTGCCGTGTCCACTTGGGTGAATCGAATCCCTGATTTTAGTGTTTTAAGTCTGTGGACTTACTGCTGTCCCACCAGGGGACTATTGTGGGGGAGTGGAGTTATCTTGTGACTAGCTGGTAGTCACCAAAAAGCCATGCTAGAGATCACAGATTTTCACCTAAATGTAATCCCTTTCTTACTGGATGTCTTCCATAGTTAATTAAAATTCACAAGCATGAGACAAGGTTTAGACAAGATACTGACTGTCCAAAAAACTATAAACAGATGTATTTCATTGACAATGTCTTTCAAGTGAATTAATGAGCACATGTAAAGCTCCTCAAGAACTTAGTGAATTGTGAAAGACTCCATCCTAGATTGATTTATAAAAAGTATTTTATAATTTGAATTAAATATGTCTAAAATATACAAACTTCTGTTTAATAAAATGACACATTGTTTCAAGTATCCAGATAGCTTGAACAACACTAAAAACAAGTAAACACACAGCTTTGGAAGATACATAAAGCTTACCAATCAAAACTTAGAACCTTTCTTTGACCAGTATAATAAGCTGTAACATTAAATGCTCTAGATCAAGTAAAATAAAAAATGAGCACTCTAATAATATACCTTTTTTGATTGGTCAATCAAACCACCTTTATAAAATTTTAAAATGGTTTAAAATAGTCTGGTATTTTAACATCAAACTGATTTCTCTTAGAGTGACAAGACAGGTCTGCAGAATAATAAGAGATTTGACCAAGATATTTATCACAAAGTCGTTATGAGTTCTCCGAGCAACTGAGATTTTGAGAAGGAAATAAACAACCTGGACACAATTGCACAAAAATATAATGAATAACCTTTATTTACACAAAAGCACAATGTGTGTAATTGCTTTTGGATTACAGAAAGACACTTCTACGGGATCTAGACTACTTTCTTTCATGATAGTCTTGATCGAGATCCTGTTCCAAACTGAATAAACCTCATGTTACTTATATGAAATGGTAATGTTAGGCTTATCCAGAACAACTAGTCTACCCAGATGACTTGTCATTACTATTAGAAAATAATGGAAGTTGTATGCTCGAGGTATCACCTAACCTACCATTTACAGTTACCTCTCAGAAAATGGCAAAGTTACAAACTGTGAAATGTATTTGCACCCAAAATAAAACAAAAAATTGTATTCTTCAAAAAAAATATGTAATGAAAAATACATACATGTACATTCTTACATTTTTACACTAGAATGATCTCTAACATACTGATGCTGTGTTTATTTTTCATTAATCAGAAATACTTGTGTGTTAAAAGAAAGATAATATTTAACTTTTGAAGTTAGAAAAGTACTGAAGAAGTAGCACCAGAATGTTGTTCTGTATTAACCCATATTTGTACCTGTTGAACTAACTGCATATATAAATACAGAAAATAGATACCTTTGAATAACTAAAAATAACAATAAGGCTGAGCTATTTGTAAACAAATACCTGCACTTACCTGGAAAGCAACAACTTCAGGGGGAAGATTATGATCCCCATTTCCATTCTGAACATACAGTACAGGCACTTGTCTAACTTGTATATCCTTAGGACTACACCACGCATGAAACCTTGATTCCCATTCCAGAATATTTTCATCTAGCTCATGAAATTCATAGTTCAAACTTTTGTACCTGTTACCAATATAATTTAATAAAACATTTACATACTCTGCACATTTTAAAAATACGTACATTTTGTTACATATATCTCTAACAACTACTGTTTGAAGTCTTGCTATGAAATCCTTGAAGCAATCAAATAAAACAAAATTCTGTGACTGTGAACCACTGGATTAATTGTCACCAACCCTGGAATGTATCCTAAGGTTCCCCAGGGACTGACATGGAGGGTTGATGTTTGGGTGTTCTTTCATAAGCCTTGTTGAGTCTCACAAGCTTAGTTGTCCAAAAAAAGATTTCAAATATGCATTTTAGAGCATAAAAAAATCTATCAGTCACCAGAACAGATTGTCCCAAGTGTACTTTAATTTATCTGTATTTCTAAGTTAGCTAAAAATAGATTTAAAAAATTATATTATATGTTTCCACACAGAAAAACTAAAACAAACTGTTACTCTAGGGGAAACAAAATCAAATAGCTGTAATGAGCTTTACTTAAGGGAGAATCTGCTCTTCCTATTGGTTATAAAAATGTCCATCAGCCATGTAAAGTTGATTTGCAATCAATCTCGATTATCAGAAAAGGAGAGGAGAGACTTCCCTGGTGGTTTCATGGATATATATCAGCAAATTAAACAGATGAGATGTTCAAATTTTAGATCCTTATTTCTTATCATGTATGGTTTGTGTTTGTTTGGAAGTTGTAGAACTCTATTATTAAAGTTATAAAATTCTGAAGTTGAGAATTCAGAGTACAGACTCATCATGTGATATTAAATAGTAAACTACAAACTTTTGAATTTAATAAAATATTTCTGTCTTATTTCAAAATTTTGCCAACCTTTATGTTCTATGTGTTTTAAATCACAATTCAAGTGAGTCTTTTTTTTAATAATATGAAATGAATTTTCTCTGTCTTTTTACTGTTAAGCACAAAGTTACACAATGGACTACATATGCTGCACCTACCACAAGTATCAAAATCCTGTTTTTACCATTTTATGCTTATAGAATTACTGACGGGCCACTGGAGGGGGGGTCTCTTAATAATATAGTTAAATTAAAATATTTTCACTTCCCTTACAACTTAAAATGCTTTTCCAAATCTGAGTACAAAAAAACTATACATTTAAAACAAAAATGGTTTAAAAATATGTTAATCTAAATTGTTTTAGACATTATAAAAGTAACATTTCTGTAAGTACCAAATAACAAACATTTGCATTTCTACTATCACAATCTGGCATAACATTTATTTTATACAGTTTACTGTTCTTTGTACTAAATATGTTTTATATTTACCCATTCTGAAGTTGCTCTCTTCTCAAACAAATATCAGAAGCCAATCCTTTAATGAGAACTTTGAGATCTTCTGTATCTAAAGTTGTAAAACATCTATTACTTCATTTTGATCATTATTTTTATTCACATAGCAAACCAATTGGATGGCTATCACCAGGAAACCATTTTCAAAGTCATGTGCATTTTGTTTATTAATGATAAAGATTATTACAAAAACATTAGCTTCATGTCGATATTTTATTTAAAAAATCAAGCTCAGGTTTACCTACTTTAACCTTTAGCTACACTGATAATCTGTTGGTATAAATAATCAGTGTATTATATCATTATTACACACCCAAAACTGAAAGGGCAGACACTTAATGTGGTCTACAAAATTATATGTAATTAGAAAAATCAATATATTATCAGTTAGGTGTACGTTACATGTCCTACTGTGTGAATGCATCACTGTTTCGCCACATGCTACTTGCCCTGGAGGGAAAGGCCCCCACCCCATCTCATCTCCAGATTTAATCATTTGTTAGTTTGCTGATGACTTGGTTGTCATTTTCATAAAATTCTGTAGCAATGTTACCTACTGTTCATAAAACTATGTAACAATGTTACCTGCTGTTCAATTACTGGAAATTAAAAAAAAAGAGATCAAGAGATAAAGTGTAGACATGTTTATATTGGACAGCTGATTCAAACAGTAAACAGTAAGGATAACATTATGGAAGTTCAACTGCATAACGTGACTGTTAGAAATCACCATTCTACTATTCATGGACTCAATATGGATTTCTGTTAAACAACTGAAATTATTATCAGTGATTAAACAAATTCATGGGTCCAGCTTACACTGTATGGTCAAGAAAACCTGCCTAGGACTCAAAGCTGACCATACAGAACTAAACAGCATGCTCAGACTAATTCAAAAAAGAGCCAGGTTCCTTTAATAAATATTAAGTTTTCAAGGTACAATAGAACACTATGTATATTTGACTGATTTTCTTCCTTTTTTGAACTAAGCAGCCTTTAGAAATATTGTGAATATCAAAAACATTTGTCCAATTAGTTTGCTACATACCATAAAAATCATGAAAACTATGCATTACACATTTAATTATCCAATATGCATTCTGTGATAATTGTTAATATCATAATATATATGTGATTACAATATCTAAATGTGATGAAACCCAAATTTAAGTTGTCATTCCTGAGCGATACTAATTGCATTAAATTTACAATCCTGCTTTTTTCTTTCTTGTCTAACATGTTAACATCAACTGTGCCAGTATTACAAGACATTTGGTTTCTTTGCTCTTACACGTTGGATGAAAATCAGATAAATTTAACATATACTTTAACACAGAAAGGATTTGTTAATACATACTTTCACACAGGAAGGATTTGTTCTTCAACTGCTCTTGAAACTTTCTTACACCTAACTGCAACTGATCAGCAGTCTTCTTTAATGTTACATCTGCAATAAAAAATAATTTTATTTGTGATGTACCATGTAACTAAGAAAATTATATTTACTGAAAATGAGTAAACTTTTTAAATATATCATTTCACATATTTTAAAAACTTGAATTTCCATTATTTGATATATGTTTCAAAAAATAACTCAGCATATTGCTAATTACCCAATAACAGGTAATTTATTGTACAATATACGGTACCAAGAAACTCACTTAATGCATCTCTTTCTTTCGTAGATTTGTTGTAGTAATCTTCTATAACATCTATGTCCTTTCCTAAAAAGAACCTCATTTTCCTTAACAAAGTTTTTACTTCAGTTTCAACAGAAACTAATCTGCAAAATAAGAGAGTGTGAATGCATAAATTCACAATTAGAAAATTCACAGCTGAAATAGGGATTAATCTTCAGTCTTTTTATATATACATGGAAAAACAAAATATATCTATAGGCTGATAAAACTGTATTTTGACAAAAGTAAATGTGACACAAAGCTGTCTGGGATTTTAAACATCTCAACCTGCAAAATTTCATCCAAAGGACGTCAGAGGCAGGGGCAAAAGAAGTCATGAGATTACGAACGTGATAGAAAGTGACATTAAAAGGAGAAAAAATTTCATCAAACATGAAGAAATGGACAAACCAGATTCACTGTTTAACCCATCCAATCAAAGATGAATGAGATAATCTTGAGAAGTTCCAGTCTAGAATGGGAACTAGGTGAGGAGATGACTGATTAGAAAGGCACTGAAGGGGTTCATAAGAATCAGAGAAAGAAAAGGAGAATGGTTAGGAAAAAAATAGAGTGTCAACAACAATGCCACTCAGCACCTGGCAAATGTAGAAACAAACAGACTGAACCACGTAAATAGGAAGATTGAATGAGGAAAATTTAGACAACCTGGAGGAAGAAAGAAACATTCAGCAAATATATCTTAAGTAGGTCTAGAATTAAAATGACAAAAACCAGATCAGCAAGGAAAAACATGTTGGTTTAAAATACATTGAACATGTATTATTCAAAACAAACAGGATGAAGCAAATTTGATATATACAAATACAGGATAAAACAGAACAGGGACAATAGCTCTAACAGAAATATAAACACAAATCTTCAAAAACCAGAACTAAAATATTCACACATTCATAGCTAGAATACAGATAATTAATGTGCTTCAAGATAAGGCATAGATCATGAGAAATTAAATGAATGAAAGGATAAAAGTCAAATAATCACATTAAAAGGCAGTTTGAAATGATGTAGAAGCCATAACATAAACCTGTCAAAAATAATGACATAAGCTCATCGAAAAATGAAAAGTATTGCACTAAGAATATGCTGAATTGTACAAAAAAGCTTTTGATTAAAGGAGTAACATTTTGAATAAAAATGGAACCTGTAAAAAAAATACAATGAATGATATTACATGAGAAACAGAAAGCAACTCAAAGGAGTATTATAAGTACATATCTAAGCGAATAATTTAAGCTGTATTCGAAACTTAATCTTATTTTAATTATTGAATTATCATGTTCATGTTTTCTTCTTATTTTTTCACCTTCAACTGCTCTTAATTATATTTGTGTAAAGGTTACTTACTCATTTCATTTGTTGAGAACATGGCCACACTCCATATTTTACGTGGTTTATTAAAGTCTTGGAATTTTATAGTCAAATGCAAAATGCCACTTTAAAGACATGTTTTAAACTTCTATAGACATTTATCTATTTCATTTTAGTGAATATTCAAACAACTAGTACATACAAAGGACATTTGCAAACTACAATTTATCTAGTGCGTCTTATTTACAAATCTTTCAGTTTCTTCAATTTACACAATTATTTAGAATAGTACAGATGGATTTGAAAAACTTTAGCCATCTTACTTTTTTTTTAGTAGTTCAGAGTTTTCAGCCATTTACTTTGCTCTTTTGAAGGGTATTCAGAACTAAAAAAAAAAAAAGTCCTCAAACATTATACAACTTTTATATTAACATGATAATCTGTAAAGACAAAATTCAAGGACTGTTAGGCTTGAAATGAACATTCAATAATGTTAATAAAATATACCATGTAATATTACACATTTTAATTGAATATTACTAATTTTGTGTGATGTATAAATACAAAAATTAACTTGAAAAGGTTTTTTTGTTGTACAAAACTTGAAGATAGCTTTTATATACGGAAACATCTGTCAGCTGAATTCTTGCACAGATCTTAAAATATAATGTTGATAAATCAGTGATTGCCTTACTGGCCTATGTTGATCTGACTCATTTTATAAGCTGCACTATTTCCTATAGATAATTTTCCAGACGATTCTGTTCTGTAGTGTCTGACGAAAAGCTTCAGCAGATATTTCCTTTGCAATATCTCAACCAACAATTGGTACAGTTATCAATGCTACTTTCAAGTTTGGAACAACTTGACTTTCAAGATCTACGTATCTACATGTGCCGATGTTTCCATTTATCAATGCTATATTTTAAGATCTGAGCAAGAACTCAGCTAACAGATGTTTCCATATATAAAAGCTATCTACAAAAATTAACACTGATATTTTACTGACTAATCATTATCCAAAATTCCACAGTTTTATTAAACCAACAAAAAAAAAGACTGGTACTCTCAATCTAATTTTGTATTATTTTCTATACTAGAAAACAGTGAACAAAAACTGATCTTCAGTGTACTTGTTTTTGTCATGTTACATCAATGGGCTCTACTGGATCTTGTCTAGTCCTCTTTCTCCATTTTCAAAAAGTGACTGAAGAATTATGTTGTGCTCTTCATGAAGGAAAGAAATTCCATCTTTCTTATCATCTCCTCTTCCTTACGTCAGTAGTTCCAACTTTTTATTCTTTCTTCTGGATCCTCTTGAGCTTCAACATTTTCTTAATATAGATAGTGAACACTTTAAAAATGTGCTACTGGTGTAACTTCTGAAAATCTGGGCTTTCATTTATATTTATGCCTCATTCTAATAAGGACCAGACACCTTACCCAATTCTGTATTTTTGCTTATTTTCTGTAATTATATGTACAATTTTTTAAACTCTGTTCATTATACTTTTAAATATGTTAGTACTACTGTAAGTTACTTCAGGAGACTATTCTCATCTTCACTGATTTAACATATTGTTTCTTTTAAACTAGCAAAAATGAATATTTTTTATATTTTATGTTATACTTTTTTTTAGAATCTGTTTTCTTATTTTATACAAATTTATTGGTTTTCACATATTATTTCCATTAACTTTAACATTCTAATATGAATTACTGTTATTAAGTACCAAGTTATTAATATAATGAGAAAGAGTTGAAAGTTATGGTCTTACTCAGAAAGAAAAACTTAAAATATACTATTATAAAAACTCCATCAATATACTTTAAATAATACAAACGTACAACATTTCTAGAGCACCACCGTATCCACTATAAACTGTTTGTTGATATATCTGTTACACCATGAGCGACATCTCTTAGAACATGTATTGTGTTAAAATATTATTTATTTATTTCTTTTCGCTTCGCAATTTTAATATATTCTCACATCTAACAAGTTTTAACCATTGTAATTTTTCCACTAATAAAGGCATTTAAAATATGATAAAAATTGATTTCACCATGTTATATGGCAAATTCTACTTTTATTTTGTTATGGTTTTGTTTACCGTATATTCATTCCTTCTACCATTCAGTTCAACTATTAATGTTTAATTATATTACAGCGCTAACTCACCTTCAACTAGTTATAACTAGAGCACGTTGAATTTGAGTATATTTGTACAGTATGTTATGAAACTGACACGAGCTTTCCCTAGCGGTGACGTACAGATATTAATGTTGTAAAAGAGTCTGTAAATTAGCTAATCACATGAGATGTAATCTCGTGGTTTAACCACTAAATCAAAACTCTTCCTTGGTTTGGAACGAGTGAGTTCACAAGACATGGTTAGAACGAATTATTACTGATTGTTGCTCCATATTCTTGTTGATCTTGAAGTGGTATACTGTGGTTCTTTTTCCCAATTTCTTTGTTTATTCAAATTAATAACATTGATATTTATTGTTACGTTTCTGCTTGTTTGATAATTTCCCGTAAAATTTCTTTCCGAGAAACTTCGGCGATACGAGTTCTTTCTTAATTAAAACTAGTTTATTCTTTCTCGTTACAAACTTTGAAATACACTTAATTTCCACAGTCACTTTAAAGATAACTACTTTTATAAACACACGCTATAATTCACAACGATTCACGCACTTTACTTACAGTCACTATCGCCCGTTTGACTCAATTATCTGTCTCTATTCGATGACGAGGAACCCACTTTGAGACTAATAATGCTTGGAGACGGCTTGAATGGGTAATGAAGAAAAACCTTAATATAATTTTAACATGATGACAAAACCTTGTCGAAACGTTGTACATTTGCTGTTATGTTAAACTTATATTAAAGTTTTTCTTCATTACCCATTCAAGCCGTTTGTCATCATGTCGAAACGTTGTACATTTGCTGTTATGTTAAACTTATATTAAAGTTTTTCTTCATTACCAATTCAAGCCGTTTGTCATCATGCCGAAACGTTGTACATTTGCTGTTATGTTAAACTTATATTAAAGTTTTTCTTCATTACCAATTCAAGCCGTTTGTCAT